AAAATACAATAATACATTAAAAAAATCAACACATTAAAAATGCTCTTTTAGTAATTTTGCATTCTAATCGCATCCGAATCATATTGTCATTCACAAATATAAGATAATCACATCGCATCCAAATCACATTTCCATTCACAATTTTAACTAATCGCATCGCTTCCAAATCGCATCGTAAATCGGATCGTTCCTCACACGAATCGCAGTGACACCCAAAACGGAGTACCTTTCGGAGCCGTTTCGTGCTATTTCCTCATACAATACGTCTATTAAGGTATTAAAAATTACTACATAAACGAGTAGTGACCATATATTTTCAATATTTATCATCGAGTATATTTTTATTAACCTTAGTCGGAAAATAGGGTTGGATCGAATACATACAGGATCCGGACTCGGGTGATTGGAGGCCTGTGAGTTATTTATTTGTGAACTTTCTGGTAAAGCCCACTACACGTCATCAAATCAGCGTCGATAGTCTTTCTGTTCGTCTTGTGAGAGAAACAGCCAACAACCAAAAAAAAAAAAAAGAACAAATTCTCTTCTTCATCGATTAATTCACTTACTTACTAGAACCCTAAATTATACTTCCGGTTAGTAACCTTTGATCTCATTTTCGCTTCTATGCATTATTTATTTACAGATTTATCGTTTTTTCCATGATTCTTCAACCATTTTGATACGAAATGAATTCAATCTATCCAATTTTTAACCTATAATTACAATCAGCGTAGATCAAAGAACCGACTGGTGCTGAGAATTCACATTCTTGTCCGAATTTGTTATAATTTCTTGTTGTATGTCCAGGATTTTTAGTTTTATATTTATAATTAAAGATTGTAATTCAAATCTTTTGATTTTTGTGGTTTTAGATATGAGTGGTGGTACTACGCGTGAAATCGTTTCAGCTTTAGTAGCTGAGAACTCTAGACAAGGCAATGTCTTAATCTCACTGGATATTGAAGACGACAAGCTATTTCTCTTACACTTCATCATAGGAACTTACTTCGGACCTGATTTAAGAAACCATCATCATCCAAAGAAGCAATCGGCATTCCAGTTACAAGCGGCGAGTAGTCCTATTACATCAGATGACCTAAGCGGCTCAATCATGAAGCGAGCTGAGCTAGAACGCGTGTATCACTACATTATCAGAAATGCAGATCCATCTCTAATCGTAAAGACAGGAATTTTACGTCAATATTTCAACGCGAAACGCAATGACTCTAACAGGGGTTTCCCACTCTTCCGAGATCTCTATCCGCTAGCACTGCATCCTGAAACCCGTTTAAGGAATCAGTATAAGCTTATCCAGAGCATTTTGTTCATCAGTGACCCCGATACCTCTTGCATGAGGCAAAACTGTATTAAACGGTTTAGACGGCTTACGGGAATGCAGAGCTTTACTTTGAGCCTTAGCATTGATTTAACTGAAACTAATAGCATTGTTGTAGCCAATGAGGTTGAGCATGGGATTGTTGAGAACATGGAACCATCCAAAGAAGACACTTGTTTGGAATTTCCTGTTACGTTTGCTGGTAACGATAAGGCCGGTACTCGCACTAGTAGTGAAGAAAGCGATGTTGCTGCAAAACCGGGGTTTGGTGTAAATGGACCTATTGCTGGAACTCAAGCTGGACCAGTAGTGGGACTCATGGACATCGGTGAATGCACTGATGCTTATCTCTTCCGTGTATCGCTTCCCGGTGTGAAAAGAGATGAAAGTGAGTGATATTTTTACTGTGTTCTTTTGCTTGATCATGAAAACCTCTCATCCCACTAAACCAGTTTCTTGACCCAATGCATATGTATATTGTAGGAGATTTTAGCTGTGAAGTAGAAGACAATGGGAAAGTACTAGTCAGAGGAGTCACTACAACAGGCGAGAAGCGAGTTCATCGTTATTCTCAGGTGTTTGATATGCAGACGCAGAATCTCTGCCCGGCCGGTCACTTTTCTGTCTCGTTCCACCTCCCGGGTCCTGTCCATCCACAGGAGTTTTCTGGCAGCTTTGGAACTGATGGGATTCTTGAAGGAATCGTTATGAAAAAGTTGCAGAAACAAACCGTGTAATCTTAGTAGTTGGAGGAATCGGTCAGTTTTTTTGGTTTTGGTTACGGGTTAACATGGAATGCTTGGTTTACAATACCTCTGTAGGTTTTTGAAATGGGTTCGTCTGAAAGTACCAACATATATTTCGACTCAGTTCGAAAGTAATCCAGCTTTTGTAAGTTCAATTCTCGGTTTGGTAGTTTCTTTCTGGTTATACAAGCCATTTATGTAAACCCTTAAATTGACAGAACACAGATTGACAGGATATCCAAACCGAATAACGATAAATATATCCATGGGACATAAAACATAACTTCTTCTACAACACCAAACTTTCTTCTTATTGTTTAGATCCACAGGAGAGAGGTTCGAACCAGAAGGATCTGCAGAAAACAAACATCAAGAGTGAAATCAAGTTTTGTTTCAATAAAATTTAGAAATGATGAAGCAAGAAAAAGTAAAACTCACAGATTATTAGGCACATCTAATTATCAGGATCCTGTTGGTCAGGTCCTTGTTGTTGCCACAATGGTTGACCCATATACGGGTTAGACGGATATGCTCCCGGGTTACCCATCACCATCCCCGAGTTCCCAATTGGAGCAGCTCCGGGAGGCAAGTATCCATACGGGTAACCAGCTGCTGTGGCGGCTTCAGCACCAACCGTCCCCAAGACTTCATCACGGAGATCCTCCCTAGGAACAATATCAACAAGGAAATCAAAGATATCGGTTCTAGTCACAGCAGCCGCAATATCGTTCTTCTGCAGCGTCCTCCTCTTGTTCTCCTCAGTGTGGTTCCACGACCTTAGTGTAAGCTCTAGAATGAACATCTCACAGGCCCTCGCAAAGACAACCGGTGCCTCGGCCGAGATCATCCGCACGTCTTCGTCTGCTTTCATGATCTTCTTGATTCTAGCCAGTGGAAGGCTATGGTTCTTGAAATCGGTGGTTTTCTCAATCTCTTTGAATTGGGTCTCCCAGAAAGATTGGAGCTGTTGAGTGAGCTGTTGCTGTTGTTGCTGGTGGATCTGATGGTACGACGCATGGTCTGGACCGGCTGGTGCAGTGGTCATGGGGTTGGCTTGGTATGGGTTAGAGCCATAGTTCATAGCTGAGGATTGTCCTTGTTGATCCATTCTGTACAGAAATTAATAACTAAACATCAAAACCACTCGCACCAATGCAAGTTTTAGAAACTAGAAGTTTCATACGAACAAAAGCAAACTAATGAAACAGAACTAAAAATTGACAGGGGAAAGAAACCAATTTCCTACAAAAGAAAAGAGCAACAACTTCTCTATAAGACAACATGATAATCACAATAACCATAAGTAACAAAAATTTATGTTTTTCTTACCACTGATAATAATTAAAGCTGAAGCCAACAACATCAAACTACAGGTATTATTATTGAAAACTGAACTTTTTAAATTAAAGGAGAAAACGAATTTCTTACGCAAAGAAAAATCTTCAAACAGCGAATTTTACGAAACAGATAAAAAAATTAAGGTGCTCAAGCTCTCGATCACAAATAAATGATTCGGTTCACACTGAATTGTAAGAAGTAGTAGTAATTAAAACCAGACAATGTCGGAAAATTTTAAGAGCGAAGATCACCTCTAAGATAGCTTTTTTTTCCAGGAGTAATTGCGAACAGGAGTGAGATTTGCGGAGGCTCTTTGATTTGGGAAGTGAGAAATTTAAGATCTGGATTTTGGGTTTCTATCGCCTTCCTCGGATAAAGGTTTTTTCTTTGCCCTTCCAAAAAATTTAATAATGAAGAATTACAAGACAGATGGCGTAAATAGCGAAAACGCTTTTAAAACCTGGCTTACTTTCAGTTTTCAAATCTATACACACATAAAATAAAATAATGGAAAAAACCTTTAAAAGTACTCTTAACTATTCGACC